ACACACACACACACACACACACACACACACACACACACACACACACAGAACCCTGAGGGCAACAGACTTGGGTGTGGATCCCTTGCAAATTATTTTAAGGCCCGCGTGGTGTCTTGAGGAGATAATGCGGGAGGGGGGAAAGTTAAGCAGCCTAAACGCTCAAGATGCCACTCGCTGCCTCGTGAAGCATGTGGTGGCTTGACACCCTCTCCTCATGGGCTCAGCGCTACGCAGGTGGGTTTTTTGGGGATGATGCAACATATCTGGTAAAAGGCCAGTGCACGGAATACGCACACGTTTTCCAACAACCAGTAAAGATGACGTGTTTTTGATGTCGAATAGTTCAAAACGATGACATTCTAAAAATCCATATTTTTCCGCATGTCTATTTATTGTGTTTAAAGCCGGTATTTCTGCACATTTCTATTAGTGTTATTCCATCTGTAGGAATAGTGGCGGCTGCGTCAGGATTGTTTCAGACTTACGTGATGCAAACATTTCCAAGAACTTTAGAAAGTAAAAAAGTCAAAATGTATCAAAAAGAAATATCTAAACTTTACAACACGTTTTTAATCTCACGACATGTTTTGCTGCAATCCATATTCGCTGACGTTTAGCTTTTCATTTACACTGCAGTCATCAAAAGCTCTCCTGCTTGCGCGCTCACAAACTGTATTAACTCGACAATCTACCAGCCCTATGAATCACATTTATACAAACGCAACAACACAAAATGTACTTCTTTCAAATAGACTGTCGGAGCTTCATTCAAAAACCTCAATAGGAGCTTCAACTGAAAACAGGCCGACTTGATGCTCGTGTGTCATCCTGCTGCAGTGATGACGCCGACTAGCCAACTGAACAGATGAGTTCTGAGAATCGGCGAGTCAGCAGGTTCGTTATGGAGCCGGGCCCACCGCTGACCCAGAGAGAGGGGGGGCCTGCACAGCTCTGTGTGGAACACCTCAACCGTTATCAAGCACATTTGAACCATCAACTATGTTACTCCGAAATAAATGCTGTGCACTTCTTGTAACAACCAAAATTTTAACTACTCAAATTAGTTGAATATATCAACCAGCCCAGTAGGCTAAGGTGAGCCGTCCTGGACACGAGTCACACTGAGGATCTACCCGTCCCTCTTATGCACACAGTGAACTACAGAACAGAGATGCCATGAAGAGTGTGACTGGCCGTGTCACCTTTAAAGAGCATTCCCACATGGAACTAACGCACTCGCCCCCCTTACGCCCTTATAGTTACTACCGCCATCCTCCATTTGCCGTCATTCCCTTTGAAGAGGAATAATGTGTTCAGAGTACAGCAGCTCTAGCCTGCAGGGGACCTACAACCTCTACTTCACCATGATGAACAAATGGAGAAAACTGCTCGACAAAGTTACACCACTGTCCATCTTTTGAATCTTAGGTGGAAACACGACAGCGGCTGCGATTATTGAGAGTGTCCACGTGTAAGACAGGGTTGCTGCTGTGTGCATTCAGTTAAAGGAACTGTGTGCGTGTCTGTTGTGCCATAAGCGAGAGGGGGGAAGTGAAGTACTCCCAGCAACAACTGGTATGTGCATGTATGTGTGTGTGTGTGTGTGTTTGCGCAGAAACAACTGTGCCTTGACACCTGTCTCCCTCAATCCAAAGGCAGATGAAGTTTAAACCGCATGGACAGCTTGGATGACAACGTTGAACCGCTTGACAAAGCCTCGGCCTCCACGCGCAGCGCACATGACGTGACGCGACACATGCAGCAGCACACATGAGCAATACGACATAACATTGTGTGCGGTGCAGCGTGGCGGGAGCATGCAACGCACCAACTGCACATGCATGTCAACGCGGCTGCTACCTCGCCCCCCCCCCCCCCACACACACACACACACACACACACTCTTAAGGGCCCCAAAGGAACCCAAGACCGGAGAGCAGGACATGCTAGAACAGAGCCAGAGAACAGCTCTCGCTGTCTCTCAGCTAAAGTAGCACAGACACGCCCACCGTATGCTAAGAGCAGCCGAGCGTACGTCGACTGTAAACATTACACGCGGCAGTGTTGAGTAACTATTTTTAAATATAGTCAAATGTTGTCGCTCAGCAGCATGCGACTCTCTGTGTGTTGTGTCCACTCCAGTGACGCATTGTCGAAATGTTGCTACAGAGTGGTAATGAGCTCGTTAGCATGGATTCTTTCAAAAATAATTAGAAATACTTGAGGGCAAAGAGTTAAAAAACAAAGGAGCTGCAGGGACAAGCCCTGCTGTTACTCTGATGTCCTGCCAACTATATGTCAAAAGGCCTCACCTGGGCCAAGAGATAGCAAACCAAATACAGGCCACATCAGAACCAGCACCGTTAAGGTTCTGATCTTGCCGTTCTCAACGTGTGCACAAAGTTACTGAAAGAAAGAAGCTCTGCTTCAGAAGCCAACTTACCGGCAGCATTGCTTGGTAGTACAGCCCCATCATCGTCTGCTCTAGAGGAACAACTGCTGACCAGCTCTCGTTCCTTCTCCTCTCCTCTCCCCCGAGTGTCTGTACGTCTCCTCTCCCCTCACTGTGCTCTAAGACCATGAGCCGACGGTGGCTTCAGTCCACGTCTGTCTCGCACATTCAAATTCTCCCTCGTTCACTCCCTCTTTCCTCCTCTCTTCCACGTCTCCGGCACGCGAGCCTCGCTCTGCCTCTCTTTCCTGCGTCTCTCCCCCCCCCTCGGCCCTGCTGCTATGATCCCCCTCGGGCCTTTCTGTCTCTCTCTCTCCTCCTGACAGCCTCTTCTCTCCCGTCTCTCTCTCTATTCTCTTAGCTCTGCGTCTGTCATTCACACGCTCGCGTTACACGTCCCACCGCTGCTCCCCCTTCGCTTCCTCTTGTTCCCGCCCTCTCTTTGAGAACTTCCCCTCCTTCTCGGCCCTTCAGTCCCTCCTATCCATCAAAGCATCCATCCTTTCCATGTAGCCACTTAACCCTTGCTTCTGGATGGAGTCAGAAAGCTGCTGTTGCTGTTCTCCTAGAGCCCCCCGGAGAGAGAACAGGAACAGGAAGGAAGGAGATGCTGTCTTCTATCCACGCACTGGCTGCCTGAGAGTACAGAACACGAATGCGACCCCCACTGCATTGCAGCTCCTTTTTTTTTTTTTTTTTTTGGATGATTTATTTATTGCGTGGCAGCCTGTCAGCTCCAAAAAAAGCAGCGGAGGGAAGGCCGGTCGGTAGACAGCTAGGTAGCTAGCTGCGTGGGATGGCTCCTAGTTCGCCTTCTCTCTGCTGCAGCTGCCTTCGCCACACAGATGGAAGTCTCACAGAACTGTGGCAGCGCCAGACTCCAGTATCTAAACCTCAACCTGCACAGGAATCTGGATTTCGCTGCATTGCGCCTTTTTTTCTTCTTCTGGCTCGGGCTCAGTTTCCCCCACTTCCCACCACTGTACTGTTAGGAGGCGCTTAATTTTTTGCAGAGATGAGAGTGCAGTTCCTTGCACTGCATTTTCATATGGGAGGGAATGAACTCTGCGGGGAGAAGAAAATAAATAAATAAAAAAAGAAAAGCCATGTGATGCCAAGCTTTCAGACATCTGCTGAGGCTGGCTAGAACTGGGTCCAGAGGGATGGAGGGATGCAGGGAGGGCAAGATAAGTGATTGGTGGAGGGAAAACATGGGGCAAAAAAGAAGGGAGCTGGGCTGGAGTGGGAGGCGAGGGGACGGAGGGGCGGTGGATGCGAGCGAGAGATAACGGGATAGAGGGATAAATGGATAAAGGGCTGGGTGAAGAAAAAAAAAAAAGAGAGCCAGGGATGACGGGATTAGGGCTGTAAGTGAGGAGGATGAGAGGATGAATAGGGGATGATCTGAGGATTAAGCACGCAGAGATAAACACACGCGGTCGCACACACACAAACACATGCACATTGTGTACACAAAGATGTGCTGTGATCATATTCATGCTGCTGCACTTTGGCTGGCACTCACACACACACACACGGACCCAGACGAGGGGCTAAATCTAACACACACACACACACACACACACACACTCATCAGCTAATTCAAACAAAGGCCTGCTCTTTGAAACACAGCATCTACAGATAATCAATAGCTTAGCCTTAACTTTTCTATAGGAATAATCCAGAACAATTTCAGGAGCCATGTGAAGTTTATGAGGTAATTCGATTTAAATACAGTTTTGCCGTTGCTAAAAAGAAAATGCTCAGGTGTGAAGCCTCTATGACCTGTTTTTATGTGCGTTTGTTGTTAACCCTGATCTTTTTTGTAACCTAAACAGCGGAAGACTGACATGTACTGCCTCAGGGGTCAGAATGGACACACACACACACACACACACACACACACACACACACACACACACA